GCCCAGAATTTGTTTTTTTAAACCAAGTGTTTGTACCAATATTGCCAATTAAAATTAAACTTTAACTTCTTCTCTTAAGTTATTGTATTTTATATTGTTTCTCTTTTTCCTTACTGTGAAAGTCTTTAAAACACAAATAGGTTCAAAATTACAATATCAATACTGGTAGCTTTCTTTGTCTCCCTTAAGACCATACAGCTAGAGCCCTGCGTTCAAAGGTTACATGAAATAGATATTCTTCCAGAATCGTTCTGTTATCATTGTTTTCATTTGTTTGCTAGATCTTGCTTGTGTTCAATTTTAGGGTTTCGCTTTCTTTTTCCCTTCTAGGTTTAAGTGACCTTTCTGGACAGTAAAATATCAATATGGTTGGGAAGGTTTTTTTCTTTGACCAGAACCATGTCACCTGACGTCCAGGACACACATGTACGGGACTTGGGAACATTAATATTTATTATCTTCAGTCTCTGCTGTGGAGGCAACAGGGACAATGGTGCTGGGAAACCTGTTGGGTCAGAAGCCAGCAGTGTCTGCCACAAGGTGTTATAGACTGGGGAAGCATCCCCTCATCCTACCTTGTCCAGGAATTGATGAAGAGATGAGGGACTCATGGCCCAGAGAGGGAAAGGATTCGTCTGTGGTCCTCCAGTGAATCAGTGACCTAGGTTACATAATCGGTGCTCAAATCCTGGGCTCATGCTCTTAAATCAATGCTTTGCCAAAAAAAGTGGGTGCCAAAAAAAAAATTTCTATTTCCATAGTTTCATGAAAAGTGAGATTGACATTTGGACATTTTATCAGTGACTATCAAAGGTCATTTTCTAAGGTCTTCTGAGGTCACAAAGGTCTGTTTGATGTAGGCCTTCCCTTAAAGAGCCCAGTCTCAGGTAGATTCTCTTCTAAGATATTTCGTTAGTTTCCCAACCAAAGTGACCTAACCAAGTAAGAGTGTGTCTTCCTCATGTAAGGAGATGCACAGAGGTAGGCTGTGTGGAGCTGGTGTAGCAGTTCCACAAGGCCGTCAGGGACCAGGCTCCTCAAACTGCTCTGCAAGAATGCCCTTCAGGAGTGGCATTCATCCTCATGGTTACCTCATGGTTGCCAAGTGGCTGCTCTACCTCCAGGATCTTATCCGTATTTTAGGGAGGAAGGGGGAGGAAGGAACAAGGAAGAAGGAAATGAGAATATCAGGAAAGGAAAACTTTCCCAGGAATCCCCAGCTCACTTCCACTCAAACAACATCACGTGCCCCACGTTAACTACAAAGGAGTCTAGACAAAGCAAAGTGGTGCTTTGGCTTAGAACATTGCACCCCTAAGCAAAGCTGGATTTGTTAGGAACGAAGAGCAGGGTAAGTAGTTGGTGTCTGGCTGCACAAAAACAAACAACTCTAGTAGAAGGAAAAAACTGATTCTTTCCTCAAAAAACAACAAATGAAGCAAGTTGGTAATTCTGGAAGGGGAGAGGTTTACTCACTTCTGACTGGGTAGGGAGATCAGGAAAGGCTGCATGCAGGAGGTGGCACTGAACTCAGCTCTGAAATTGAAGTAGGATGTGAATGTGGATGGAGCCGAGTTGCAAGAGGAAAAGCTGTGAACGGGAGAAATCCCTGAATGACGGGAGAAGGATGATTAGGGTGAAATTGGAGAAGGCAGCATTTTCCCTTTGGCATGGAAAATGTTAGGAAAGGCACAGGGAGACAGAAAGCAAGGGTGAGGTAAAACTGTAGAGAACCTCATTTGCAAAGCAAAGAAGTTTGGAACTTTTCCTATCAGCAGTAGGAATTCCTGTCCATTTTCATTTTCCCAAAGGATCTGTTAAGGCTGTCCCATCCTCTCCATCCCTCACGACCCACACACTAACTCAAGCATGTCATTCTTTCCCAACCACCGCTCCAGGCTCCTCCCTGGCCACCTGGCCTGAGTCGCTCCAGTCTAAGCCATTTCTCCTGTGTCCCCAGTGGGTTATTCCAAACACCCAGACTGGCCCTGTCCCTCTGAGGTACACAGCCCTTCCATGAATCCCTGTTAGCTTTGAGACAGAACCCAAAGACTTTGTAATTGAGCTTTTCCCAAGTGGGCTGGGACTGGGAGGGAAAGACCAGAGGAGAGAGGACACATGGAACTGAGGCCTCACAGAGATCGTAGGAGTGCTGCTTATCCCTAGATGCTCTTAAACGTCTCATCCACATAATTCCTGCTTCTGAGGGTGAACAGTCCTCTAGGATGACCAGAGACAGAAGCCCCTGGCTTGCTAAGAATACTTTCTGCTCTCCCATCCCCACATCCTCTTTCAGTTACTCATCATCTCATCTTCTGAACCACACGGCTCTGATGTGAGAGCCGGTTGCGGCGAAGGCCCTGGCCCCTCCTCTTCCTGAGGACCACTGCCGCGCTGTAGATGGCAGGACCACTGCCGCAGCTGGGTGAGTGGGATGAAAGACAGTGCTGGAGGTGCCTGAGGCTCCAGGACTGGGGCGGGCTGGGCTGCAAGGGTATGAGAAGAGAGGACATAAGGGTGTAGAGTACCAAATAACCAACATGGACGAAACATCTGTGTGCCGGGTCCTGGCAGGGCTGGGAGTGGCTGAGGTGAATAGCAGATTTGGCCAGGGAGTGGAGTTGGGGGTAAGGGTGGGCACTCAGACAAGGTGGTTGAAGGTATGAGAGCATTAGGAGCTGGAAGGCCCAGGGTTAGTCAGGTTTCCCGTATCTGTCAGCCACCGTCCACAGGCATGCTTTCCCAGATGGTAAAAATAAATAATCCAGAGGACAGCAGTGGGGGAGAATCCCTGCAAATTCCTCATCCCCCCCAAGTGACCCAGATGAAAAGTCAAAATCAAGGGCTACCGTTTAAGAGAGAATTAACCCCTTTCTTCCAGTAACCTCAAACAACTCCAGTGAAAAAGTAGGAAACGCTAAGAACTGATTCCTCATTGGAAACCTTGTAGAGTGTGACTATTTCTTATTAACTGACAAAAGTCACCAAGTGGACAATATATCCTACCTATTCTATGTAGAGTGAGGCAGTCGTGAATGTTCTTACCCAGAAAATGCCAAAGCAATCTCTGCTTAGGATGAATACTCAATCAAAGGCCACCTGGGACTGGGAAGAAAGAAGTCTAGAAAGGTGTTCTGTTTACTGAATGGGTAGCACTTTACCATATATTCAGCTAGGAACACTCTCAACCTTAGGGCATTCATTCTTACATCCATGATAATAGGATACGAGTTCAATGAATACCCCTATTTTCCAAACTGGGAAAGAACAAAGAAAGGGGAAGTGACTTAGCCAATGGCATCCAGACAGTAAGAGACAAAGGAGAAATTGATCACAGGTGGAGCTAGGAAGGAGCAGAGCCTGAGAGATGGGAGGAAGAGGAAAGTAGGAGCTGAGATGAGGAAGTCTAGCCTGGGGCTGGCGGGGGGTCAGGTAAGGGGTCAGAAGCAGTGTAGATCCTCAGAAAGCTCCCTTGCCATTAGGTCCAGTGTGAGGAGAGAGGATGAAGGGAAACTGGTCAGTGAAGCCCCGCTCCTCTGGGCTTCCAGAAGGTCTTTCCGAAGCTCCTTGGGAATCACGAATAAGGAAAATGCTGGGTCCTGGAGGAAGTGGAGACAGGAAGTCAGGATGCCTTGCTGACGGCTGACCCTCCCTCCCCACAGCACCGGCCAGGCTGCTCTATTCCTCTTGTTCCTTGGAGAAGACTCTGCAGTGCAGCTGTTCCTTCCATGGCATCCCCACACCCTCTGTGCAGTGGTGGATGGGAGGTACTCCTGTGGGTGTGAACAACACAGATGGCAGCCTCCAGGTGACTTCCACCATAATTGCCCCCTGGGCCAACAGCACCATCAGCCTGACAGAGCAGCCAAGAATGAGCACGAGGCTTCTCTGTAAGGGGAAGAACAAAAATGGAACCCACGCTTTGAGCATCCTGCTGCTACCAAGTGAGGGTAGAGGGGGCCCAGTGACTGGGTGAGGAAGCGTGGGATGGGGAGGGAGCAGAGCTTTGGCTCAGATTCCAAGGCCTCAGAAGAGAAGTCTTTCTCATAGGCTATCGTTTTCCAGGAGAGAGGTCTTCGCCGGGCAAGACTTTCATTAACGGGCTGATCCAGGGCCTTGTCTATGGAGCCATTGCAACTGCCCTGCTATTCCTCTGCTTCACCCCACTCATGTGAGTACCAGGGATGAAATTCTACCTGGCAGGCCCTGCAAGGCTGGCATGGAAGGGGAAAGACAGGGCCCTTGCCCCAGGGAGCTTAGGGTCTGGCAAGGGAAGAAGGCACCTAATGTGGTCACCACAGTCCAGGGCCATCAGCACTATGCTGAGCCACTGAGAGGTTCAAAGGACAGAGGTTTTCAGCAAATTGCATAAAGGAGGAAGTGGCAGCCCTGGAGAAGACAGCGGAGTCCCTGGGGGGTGCTGTCTGAAGCGGGCTGTCATTTGTTTGGGGGAAAGTAGTATATGCGTACCCCAGAGACACATTTGAGGAATTGCCAGTGTCTTTGTGCAATGTCAGGTGCATAGAGAGTGAGAGGAAATGGCTAAAGATGAAGTTGAAAAGGCTTCTTGGTGTTAGTTCATAGAGACTCTTGAAAGTTGGCTAAATGTGTTGGCTAGAAGCCCAGAATGAGAAGGGCAGAGTTGCCAGAGGTCAGGCCAGAGAGTTTGGCAGAGGGGCCTCTGGCCAGTCCGAGCATTTCGGACTCGATCCTCAGTTGGGAGCCATGGAACAGTGCTAAAGTGGGAAGGAAAGCTCCTAGGGCAAGGTGTCTGTACACAGACCAAAGAGCAAGAGCCCAAGGCCTGAAACCAGGCAGGAAGTTGGTGCCACAGACTACACAGCGAAGAGCCAGGTTTGAGCCAGGCAAGTGATGAGGGGCAGCCAGAGAGATGGGACTTGGGACTGAATGACTGTAAGGGGTGAGAAGAAAGAGGCACAAGGCAGCAGGGCAAACTGGGGAGCTATTTTTAAAGTACAGTCAGCTGGACTTAAAGACCAATAACAACCCTTTACAGTTTGCAAAGCCCTTTCAGCGCTGACCTCATCTGAGCCCCACAGCCTCATAAGCAAGGTCTCCCCATTTTACAGAGGATGAAACCAATTCCCAGAGAGGCTGTGTGGCTTGCCCTCAACAACACAGCAAGCCAATGGTGTCACTGAAGCTCTAAACCAGAACTTCTGGTCAAGGCTAGAGCCCACTGAGGGGCAGAGAGCCAGAACTGATCAGGGGGGTCATTTCCTTAGAATGAAATATATCAGAGTGAAGCTGTCAAAGAAAGTTGCAGCGGTCAAAGCAACAAACAACCCTAAAGTCAGAGCAAGCCAAGAAGCCAAGATGCCTCTGAAGCCTCAAGAGCCAGGAAAATCCACCATCAGCCCATCTTCAGAGAAGCAGATATTGGTGGGTATCCATTGTGCCTGGAATCTAGTCTATCAGAATAATGGCAATAAGACTCACAAGGAGAAACACATACAGTGTTTAAAGGAATTATCATCCTCAATCTTATAGGGCATCTAGAATGCCAGAATATGCTGGCAGATTATCTTATAGATGATAAAGGGAAGAAGGATGAAAATTAAGAGAAATAAAGACTAATTAGAATCAGCAATGTACACACACACACACACACCCCTTCACACTGAATCCACATTGAGAAGAGGGGGTCAAAAGAGCCCCTAACAGTGGTTGTGGCATCAGAGTAGAAACCAAACCAAACTCTGAGTGTCTGGCAGGTTGTGGTCAACACAGTCTGTAGATGCCACAGGCCCGTGTTAGCCTGAAGTGCCTGGAGACCAGCCCGAAGCCAAGGTACTCCTTCATTTACCTTGAACCCCATATCCTCAGCAGGACTTGGAAGAGACAGGCCTCGCTGTTATTTACCATTTATAATTCTCTAGAACCAGAAATGCCCTGCTGCCCTCCTTGCACTCTGCACTAGGAGCTGGTTTATACACTTTGTGGGTAAATCATGCATCTGTTAAATTCCACCAAAATGTCCTACAGTATCTCTTAACCTCCATGCTGGTGTCTCAGAAATGGGTGAGACCCAGGCCTTGCCCTCAGAGAGCAATCAGGCTGGTGGAAAGGCAGCCTTACAGTAACAGGGCCGAGATGGGGGTCATGGTTGCCCAGAGGAAGGAGGGACTGACCCTACCTGGGGAAGTCAAGCAGAACTTCCCAGAGGAGTCTGGGGAACACTGGGTGGGCTCCTGGTGCTGGGAATGCACACGGAGGCCCAGCAGGAGAAGACAGAGTTGCAGACTCCAATTACGAGATTCTGAGAAAAGGTAAAGACAGTGCCTGCTCCACATCACTGTAATTCTGTGCTCAAAGAGAGAGACAGGATTCTTTCTTTTTAAGATTTGGATACTTCACTTCTAGACCTGTTTAACATCCTTCTTTCTTTGCCCTGCTCTGTAGCATCCCTTACCCTAAACTTCCAGAAAAAAGCAAAATAAACTGGAACTGATGAAGCCTGTGAAGACTACATGCCTACCTGGAGTCCCCACTGTCCATGGAATTACCACAGTCTACAGAATACTCAGCAACCCCCAGAAACCCTGGAGTCTATGACAAACCCAAAGCCCCCGGAGTCTCCTCATCTCACAAGGACCCCTCAAGCTCCACCTGTCCCTCACACTGATTCTCCATTGAGTAGGGTTACTCTGGGACCTGGTCTTAGAACGTTTGAAAGCAAACTCTATGATCTGCTGTTCGGGTTAACTAGAAGAAATATGCCTTGGCCTGGGATGGTGTCAAAGGAAGGGAAAATAAATATGAGACCATGGTCCACCAAAAAGTAGCTTTGGAGCCCCTACTGTATGCCCAGAACCTGGAATATACATACAAGAACACCAGGCTTTAGAGCCATCTTATATGGATTGAATATAAACTTCAGTGCTTAGTGGCTATGTGTCTTTGGATAAGACCTTTCACCACTGCCCTGAGGCATACATGGGTGGAGAGTAAGTGAAAAGTGGTGTCCAGAGGTGGAGGTGGAGAAAAGACACAAAATGTGTCCAAGAGCCCAGAGGGGGGTCTATGCACTGGAGCTCAGGATGAACAGTGAGCTCCTGAGGTCCCTGAATGCCAAGATAAGGCATTGGAGCTTTATCTGGTAGGATGTTAATCTTGACTCCCTTAGAATGTAAGTTCCACAAGAACAGGGATCTTGTCTGTCTTGTTTTACCACCAGCACCTAGAATGGTTCCTAAAATATAACAGACTCTCAAAAATGTTTGTTGAATAATTGAGTGAGTGAATGAATGAATGAATGAATGGATAAGCCATTGCAAGGTTTGAAGCAAAGAAATAGTGGCCAGATTTGCAATGATGTGGATGGAACTAGAGGGTATTATGCTAAGCTAAATAAGTTAGTCAGAGAAAGACAAACACCGTATGATTTCACTCATATGTGGAATTTAAGAAACAAAACAGATGGACATAGGGGAAGGGAAGGAAAAATAAAGTAAAATGAAAATTGAGAGGGAGGCAAATCATAAGAGACACTGAACTCTAGGAAACAAACAGGGTTGCTGGAGGGGAGGTCAGTGGGGGGAAGGGTAATTGGGTAATGGGTATTAAGGAGGGCACTTGATGTAATGATTACTGGGGTTATATGCAACTGATGAATCACTAAATTCTACCACTGAAACTAAAAAAAAAAAAAAAGGAGTGGCTAGATACATAGTGAAAGATCATTCTAGGAGTAGTTATTGAAGATGTTATGGAAGTTATGGAAGACTGGACGCAAAGAGCCCACTTAGGATGTTATTGCAATACTTCTTGGCCAGGCTGAAAGGCAGGCATACAAGGAATGAGAACAGGAATCTGGCGTGAGAATGGACCATAGCTGTGTACTGTTCCCCTCAGAATGGATGATACTCCCTTCTGGAGCCAGATGCTGGTAATTTTCAGAGGTTGCAAAAAGGGTCATCTCTTCCCTGGGGCATTGTTTGTGTGTAAATCCAGTGGTTCTCCATCCAGCACAATGTGATGGTCATCCCGTACTCACGAGCAGCTGTTTATGTAAGTCCTCACGTGTATAGGCACCCTTTTGGCATGCGGTTCACACATTCCACAGAAATAGGAGCATCCACTTTGTGCCAGATAATGAGGTGAACAAGCCAGACACTGGCCCTGCCTCCATGAAGCTCGTGGTCTACGCAGGTACACAATGAAGAAATAAAGGCAAAATTGCCGCTTAAAATGTTGACAAGTGCTAGGAAGAAAAAGGACCTAACACTATGAGAAAGTATAAGGGACCAGGGGAGGAACCTAGTTTGGATTAGAGAATCAGAGAAGGCCTCTCTGAGAAAGTGACATTTGTGCTGAGACCGAACGGATTATTAGGGGCTGGTCAGCAGAACAGTAGATGCTAGGCTCTGGGATGGGAGTCCAAGAGCCCAGACGGGGTCTGGTCTATGCACCAGAGCTCAGATGGAAGGGTGAGATCCTGAGGTGCCAGACCCTTCAGGGCTTCAAGGACTCTGGTGAAAAGTTTATGTTTTATCCTCACTCACGGAGGGAGAGTTCTTTCCTCATGTGCTTTGTAATTTCGGAAAGCGGGCTCCTAAGGACTGGAGAATGCCATCCAGAAGAGAAATGGGATAGAGGATGGGAACTGGGTCGGGACTAGGTCAAGGATAGGTTTTGACAGAGAATGGAGAACTGGGTCTTCCTCATGCATCTCGGTTTGTTCGTGGATGGGACCCTGCTCGCAGGAAGGGAAAGGGGCACCAAGATGCCCTCTGATGGGCCCTGAGGGTCAAGCACTTGGCATTTTGTTCTTTGGTCGATGGCTTTCAATCCACCCCATCACCTGCTTTCCCACAAGTACTGGCTTGAGGAAGGAGTGTCCCTTACACACTGATGGTCCTGCGTCTCCAGGACCGGTAGGGGTCTAGAACTTCTGGCTCAAGATAAACGAAGCACCGGTCGCTCCGAACGGCCTCAAGCCCAGAAGACCAACGGTTCTACTTCGCCGTCTCTCCGTGTCCCAGCAGCCCCCACACGCATCCTCAGGCCCTGATTGGCTCTGGACAGATTCGCGCGTGCTCACTGGTATGCCTGAGGGGCGGGGCTTCGGGGAGCGGCAGCCCCACGTGACCTCTGGCCCTTGCGACGTTGGCGAGGCTGGAGACTTACAGGTCACCTAGTGAACAGGTTATGAGTGAGCTAATCAGTTAGCTTTCCTCTACCTTAGTCCCTTCCCAGTGAGTCACTCAGTAGTTGTACACATGCTCATTGCATGTGTCAGTTGACCCGGCTCGTCGGGAGGCGTTAAACCAGCCAATCAATTCATCCCTCTGGAAAGTAAGTTCCTGTAAGTAGTAAGTCAGCCAATCGGTGAGTTTGGCTAAGGGCACGTGATGCACTTAACCAAACTCAAAGAGGACGTTGAGTTGTCAAGGAAATAGCAGAGTGGAGAGACATCTCCACTGTCCAGCTGAGGACAGTCCAGGGTGGAGCTGTGGGCGCCCAAGACGAGGTGGTAAGTCTGGAAAAGGAAATGATTGTTTAGCGGGAAGAGGAAAGAGGTTTCTTGTGGAGAAAACCCATGGCTGCGCCAAGCCCTGGAAAAGGGAATGAAACTTGGAAGAAATCAGAATTTTGAAGTCGGAAGGACCATTACACACTGGGCAGTAATATCTGCTCATTTTACAGATGGGGAAAATGGGGGAAAACAAGAGGGGGGACAGCACTTATCTAAAGTTTCCAGCAAGTTACTGGCAAAGCCCTGTCTGGAACCACCCCAGAGCTCTCCTCAATCCTTGATTTGAGGTTGTAAATAAATCACTATATTCAATTAGATTCTGAGAATTAATTTCTTATTAAAATTTTTAATTTCAAAAATTAAAAAAAAAA